CTTAAAGCTAAATATTCGAGAGAGCTTCGAGTGAAGCGTGGCGTGGTTGGTAGAATGCTGCGGACAAGTTCGCCATGGCGAACTTGGGTTCGAGACCCTCCGGCGATTTGAGATTTTTCCTTTTTTCTCATTTTTTATTTTATTTCATATTTCTTTTTAACGTGTTTTAGCGTCAATAACGTTTTCTTATCATAAAAATTATTTTTTTTTTTTTCGAAAAATAGCAAATAAAAGCGGATAAATAACGGATAATTTTTTTATTTATTTATTTCTTTTTATTATTATTTTAACAACAAGTCTATCCATATTTTACTGAAAATAAAGTGTTTTTTATATATCAAAATAGGTATGTCTCGGTCTTAAAGCACGAATAATGGCAGAGAAACAGACAAATATGGTCTCTGGAGGCATGCACACATCACCCCTCTTAACTCCCTTTAATATTAACCTGTAATTTTCAAACTCGGTCAGAAATTAAGGTTCAATGTACTGAAGAATCGTTCCGACGGAACTTTTTATAGGTTTATTAGGGGACCACCCAGGGACCGATCAAGACAAATTCAGGCCCCTGACCCACAAAATTTTCCGGGTCCCTAACGAAATATTTTGAAATTAAATTTCCGAAGAACATAGCCCTAACAATTTCTTCTATATTTCTTCTTCTCTTCTAGATTCTTTTTGTAGTCCTAACAATTAAAAGTATCTATGGAACTGCATGATTCAAGAGAAACATTCTAAAAAATTTTGAAAGCTGACAATTGAAGATTATTTTTCTAAGATAAAGTTTACACATTTAAATATTAAAGCAAGATATCAAACAACAAAATAATGTTGTATGAAAATTAAAATAGTTTGATCACAAACAATTGAAATCAGTGATTTTTGATAAAAGTCAGTGATTAGCTGAATTGTTTTAAAGATTGTAGCTTTCCATCTACAGCTTTACATATTTGTTAAGAATAAGCTTTTAGTTCTTTTTGACACTATGAGAGACTTTGCGAATATGGATTCTCGTTGCATTTGCATTGCAAGCTGTTGGAGAAAGAATTGCACCATTTAAAATTCAGCTGTACTTTCGCATTTGATTAGTGCAATGCTTACACGAGTTTGGTTTATCACAATATGAAGAAAATTTGAAATAAAAAATGCCTTTTTTGTGATAAACTGCTTCTTTCGGTATTTTTTTTTAAAAAAGTAATATTGTTACTTTTTACTAATTTTTGAGCCCCCCCCCCGAATGAGTGGGCCCTAGGCCCGTGCCTTTTGCTCCTAGGCGATAATCAGGCCCTGAAAACCGACAACAAAATGACATAATTTGCTGCCTGCTTGTTAACGTCACAAAAGCTAAGACGCTGATTGGTTAAGGGAGAAAAAACTTGGATGGAAAGTAGAACATGGTCTACAATCTTCCAAGAAATTGGACCAAGTTCTTGGATGATTGTTTACACGGTCCAAGCTCAAAGCAAAACAAGTTTCCATCAATATCAATCCTTAAGACGATCCAATTTCTACAAGTCTATATCGTCTAATCTTGATCTTGACGTGTCTAAATCGTCTAATAATCTTGATATCTAAATCTTGGATCGTCTAAACAGGCACAATTTCATTGCTTCTGGTCTTGCCATAGGTATTATTTGTGATTTTTTTTATTACAAATTCTATTTTTCACTAGTCGCTTAACACGATGCAAATATCCTTAATTAGCCTTCATTGAAAAAAAAACATTTAATACAAAATATTCTCAATTGTTTCTCGAATAATACTATTCCATTCTGTATGCAAATGAATTATGTAAAAGACATTCGAAAGAAATTCTCTTTCTTGCACGTCGCATAAATTTGTTAAAAACTTTTGGAAGTAAAATTAATCGCATAAATTGGAATAATCTAAAATATTATTTGAATAAAAACAAATAATGCTAATTTAATGACAACAAATGAACATTACTGAATATCTTTAGAATAACTGAATATTTAATAGAGGATCTCAAAACAGAAAATAAAATTATGCTTTAGTTTCTTTCCCCCCTAAAATTTGTAATTTATAATTTCATTAAAAGTAAGTATTTTTAAAAGGTCAAATGTCAAACAACAGATTCAGAAATAACTAAAATGTTTTTCTTATTCAGGCATTTTTTTAAAACTATGTCTAAGAAAATTTTTTAAAAATTGTGATTTAAAAATGTTTTAATCTTAATCTTAGCAAGTTTTATTCCTAAAGTATTACATAGTTTTTCAATAAATAAACTGTCTTGTATATTTCGGTATTATAGATATAAGAGTAAAAATATCTGTTTTACTTAGAAAATTAAAAGGGGAACTATTCGTCTTTTCATAAGATGAACCAAAAAATAAAGAATTAAAAAAAAAGGTTTCTTAACTATGCCTCTAATTTATCAGCAACTTTATAATAATTCAAAAATGACTATATGGAAAAATTTTCAGCTCTTTTATTACCTTTTTATATTGAAGCCAACTAAGAAGACAAGTGGTCCAAGTAATCACACTTTATTTTTTATTTAAATATTTCATTGTGATTTTTTACGCTACAAATTCGTGTTAGTAGTTAAAAACTATGAAAATATTTCTAATAGTTCTAATTAAAGAAATTTTCAATTCCAAAATACTCTCAATTGTTCTTATTCATTTTTTTGTCTTATAATCTACAATTTTGTATGTAAATGAATTATGCAAAAGTCATTCGAAAGAATTTTTTTTTTTTAATATGTCGCATAAGTTCGTTAAAAACTTTTTGAAGTAGAATTACTCGCATTCATTAGGATAATCTGAAATATTATTTGAATAAAGCCAAATAATGCTACTCTAATCATAAAAGAATTAATATAACTGAATAGAATAACTTAGCTAATATTTAATAAAAAATCTCAAGACAGAGAAAAAAAAAAAAAAACTACGCTTGTTTTCTTTTCTCCCCAAAATTTGTAATTTACCATTTTATTATAAATAAGTATTTTTAATAGTTCCAATGTATTAAGAAATAACTAAAAAGATTAAGATTCCAACAGAGTAAAAAATAACTAACACAATTCTAACTAATACAATTTCTAACTAAAAATTTAGAATTGTGATTTTGGAAATTTTTAAATATTAATCTTAAGAAATTTCGCTCCTAAAAAAATCAAATTTTTTATTTTTCTTAAAGAAAGAATTGCAAAACTTTACTAAAAAACAATTTATTTTTTTTTAACCATGAAGAATTTTTTTTCTCTAAGTATTTTGAAAAGATTACATGGTAGATAAAATAAAATTTGATAGAAATATGGCAATGATTATACTTAGCATATATGGTCAAAAATGCACATAAATTTGGAACAAAAAATTTTTTCACGTTTTATTTCGAAATAAGTTGTGCAAGAAACTAATTTATTTAATCGATTTATTACATGAAACAATAAATTTTTGCGAGAAAAAATTATGTCTATGTTACATATTCATTAAATATCTAGGTAAAACTTTATAAGAAAATCATAAAATATCAGAATAAAAATTGTCTTTAAAAATCAGAAATTTAATTTAATGTCAGCGCTAAACACATCCTATATTTCAGGGCTGTCCAACTGGCAGGCTGCATGCCCCCCCCCCCCCNCCCCCCCCAACTTCTTATTCAGGCTTATCGGCCTCAGTTTTCCCACTGTCCCGCAGTGGACTGATCGTTAAGACACGGTTCCCAGCAGATCACCAAAGTCAAGCATCACTGGCTGCGGTCAGTGTGCGGGTGGGTGACCACTTNTTTATAATCCTTCTGTTCCATTGTTTAATAATTCATAATTCATCTATTAATTGTTATTGTATAAGAGGTTATTGTTCAACTTTTTCAAACTGCGGCCCGCCAGGTAAACAGTGACCGCAATTCTGGCCCGTGGGCTCTTTGCAGTTGGACAGCGTTGCTATATTTGAACGTTCGAATCGCTTTCACCAGCAAATTGTTTGAAAGACATCCGACAGTTGGGAGGGAAAATGAAGATAGCAGTACGTTAGCAAAATAAGTTCGAAAGCGCGAGGTTACAGGTTTTCCCCCTTAGTTTTCCCTAACGTGACGTCATTTTTCTATCCTTTCTCGTTCGATGGTTCCGAGATTTCAAAACTCTACTCCCTCGGCTCCCGTAAACAATATTTTTCTGGCGACATTATGTTTTACGATTTGGCATTTATTAGCGTAAAAGTAGCTGATTCGCGTTTTGCGCTCGTATCTCTCGAATCGGTTTGTTTTGTTGTGCCATGCATTGATCCGTAGTACCTATGAGATAATACTTTTATTTTCGAAACCTTATTATTTTATTTTTATAACGATGAGTACGGAATATAATAAGTCCATACTTTTGGAATATAGTACCGATCCAGAAGTGTTTCAAGACATGGACAAATTTGAGTTGAATGAGGCGAAAAAGTTCGCTCTATCTGTCAAACTGCAATTTCCGAAATTTTCCAAAGGATTTAGTGCAGCCGATTTCAGTTCATTCATTCAAAATCATGTTGGTGGAGATGAAAACGTTGTCGCCATGGGTCGCCTGTCATTCCCCAACGAATGGCAAATGCAAGTGAAATGTAAAGACATCCGAGAGAAGCTGATTCGACTTGGGCGCACGAAGATTAATTCCAGAACATGTTGGATATCACCTCTTAGCCAGAGTGAAGTTAGAGGATACGTCCATTGGATTCCGAATGCCATTGCTGAGGAATCTATCCGTGGTATTTTAGAGCCTTACGGTGAGGTGATGTTCATGGAGGTGATGCAATTAGATTTGTGGACTAAAGTCGATTGCGACTCTCGATATTTTGCCTTGAATTTAAAACCCGGACAGACTATGGACGATATTCCGCATTTCTTCAAAATCGGTAGCCATCATGGATTGATTACCATCAGGGGTCGAGCTCCTTCTTGTTTCCATTGCAGGACAATCGGACATCGCAAATCAGAATGTCAGAAATACAGAGAGAAACTGAATTCGTATTGCAATAGGAAGCCTGGTTCCGGTGCGAAGAGGACAAAACCACGAGGTAGACGATATCGCCCCATGCCCAATTCAGAGAATCCTAGTGCGTCTGTTGCCTCTAAGAAAAAGAGAAAGAAATCCAAGGCTGCCAAAGCTCAACCAGCTGTTACCAAGGAAGCCAAAGTTGAAAACTCAGCTGTAAAAGAAGAGGTAAAAACTGAAGAAAGTTCTACTGATATGGTTAAGGTAGCCCAAGATTTAGTTGCAAAACTTGAAAGATTAAAAGATCATGGTGATTTGCAAGAACTGTCTACATTGCAGAGCCAGTTGACTAACCTTCATAGCAAATTGAATAATCAGATAGTGGAAATTGAGAAAAAATTACAAAATACTGTTTTAACCGATAAAGGTGAAGTCAATACTCCTCAAGGAAATGGAGAACAGCCCACTGAGGAGAAGAAAAAGAAGCGCAAGAAGAAGAAAAAGAAAAATGTATCAGAAGCAGCGAATGAAACTGTACCACCAAATAACTAAATTGTAAAAGAGAGTTATTTTCTATCTTTTTTTTTTTTTTTAGTAATGAAAGTTGAAGTTAACAGTTTTTAAAAAATTTGGAATTCATGGGTACTTCTGAATTTATTAGTTCAATATTGTTTTAATTTTTTAATCTTAAGCTTCTCGTGATTTTTTTCTCTTTCAGGTCTCACTAAATTTGATATCTTCAAAAAATATTGCTAATTATATTATTTTTAAAAGATGCAAACCTAATTTGCAAAGGCAAACAACAATTTTTCGATTACGTCACATTTCTTACATTTTCACATTCGATTTCTATTGATGCGTGTTTTTAAAACTTGCCATTTCTCTTTGCAAATCATCTAATTGCTTAATTTCACTATAATTGTGTCACAAATATCTGCGCTTTGATTTATTTTGCTAATATTTGCAGATTATAATTAGAATTTGGAATAAAACTGATAGCTGTTGCCCTTGTAAGATGTCAAACTTTGCTAGAATCTTATGAATTAGAACTTTAATTATGAAAAATTAGTAAATACTTATTTTGTGGAAGGATTCCTCTGGGTTTTGTACATCACAACCATGTACAACATAACAAAAAATTGTACAACACAGAAAAAACCATGTATATCACAATGTAAAGCTCATTGCTGATGAAATAAATGCATATATGTACAAGTGATGTAAATAAATAAAAGAAGAAAAAATTATCTGCAAAATGGTACGATAAAAGTTCTACATTCGGCAACACTCGACTAAAATAAGTATTATTCCTTATAGTGAAATAACTTGTTTTAAATTTTGCAATAATCTGCAAATTTAAATAAAAGCTACTGTGATAATAATTTGGAATCCAAAAGTCTTTTTTTTTCTTCTTTTAAGTTTGGAAAATTTATGTATGTGCTGATTAAAGTTTATTGATATTGAATTAAATGTTGTGCAAATACGAAAAACCATTTACTTTTATTTAAATGGTTTGATATAATATGTCTGCTCTCAATAAACTATTTCCAATTTATATTTTCTTTTAAATAAATGTGTAGTATATCTTTGAGTTGTGATTTTCAATTTATTCTTTTAAGTTTTTATTTACTGTTTAACTCTATTTATGAGAATGTAGGGACTGTGACAATTCGCTTTTTAATTTCAAATGCTCGTTATTTTAGAGAAAACTAAAACCTCCAAAAACTAAAGTGTATAGTTCAAAAATATGCTGCTTCTGTTGTTTTTTATAAATACTGAAGGAGAAAATGTTTGAACTTTGTCTCTAACTGTAATGTTCAACTTTTCAGCATAGATACTTTATTGCTAAAATCTTAACAAAAAGAGTAGTGTGGTAAATAGATTTTTTTTTTTAAATTTGTTTCCATCTTCTTTTCATATTTTTTTTTAAATATTTGTTATGAGATTTAAAATACCTAATTAAAAAGCTGTCATTATTTCTTTAGTAACGTCGGAAAAGAAACTTAATTGCACTTTTTGTAAATGGCGACATTAAGTTAGTTCATAGTTTTTAATTCTTTATTTTTTACTCCAAAATTTGTTCCAATGCATTTTAATGTAACTGAAGGAAAATTTAATCATTAATAGACATCTTTTAGAAGTAGTGCAAGTTTCCTAATTTGTTGTGACTTTTTTTTTGTTGTTGCTTATATCAATATATAATCAATCCAACATATACAATCTCTTATATCAATATAATAAAATTATTTAAGTGAATAATTATTTATGTACACAATGTTAAAAATTAGGCCAAATTTTATAAACAAATTGTGTTGATTTAAGTCGACTGACTTTTTTAAAAAAAGAAATCATTCCTTTAAATCTAATGAATATTTTGATATTACAATACTTGAATTTCTTACAGATTTTTATAGTTTTAAATTTTATGTAAATGTATCGCTGTAATTTTAAGGGCGTCGTCACGCCTCAGATGTGGCGACTAAATTAAATAAACTGGGTACCAAAAAATTACCATTATTCGCCAAGTACTACTCTCCCCCTTCCCTTTTTATGATCGGATACTCCACCCTCATCGCCTTAGTTTCTGGAAATGCAGCCGCTTTGCATAAAACTTTTTATTTTTTATTACATCTGTTTATTTTTTAAATTGTTTAGGGAGTTGTATGGTTATGAATTCTCTATAAGGAATCATTAAATTGGCTAAATTAAAGCACTACAATATTCAGTCCCAACTTAAAAGTTAGATCTATTTAAATAAAAAGATTTTATTTCTTTATTATTATCTGATATGATATTCTATAAGGACTTTTTTTGCCTTTTTTTTATTGACAGTTTGTTTCAACGTTTTGTCAAAGATTTGTTATTGAAGAGGAAGTAACACAAAAATTAATTACTGATAAAAAAAAATAAAAAAAACTCACCGAAGAGTAAGCTGATGTTCGATTTTATTTCTTTGCTAAAAGATGGAAATGGAATAAAAATGCAGTTACAGTATTATACTTTTTTTTTCCACCCATACCTAATGAAAATAAAGCAGGAAAGGAATGACAAAAATAGTAAATAAACTCCCAAAATTAATATTTAAAAGAAAAGTTTGAGAGTAAAATTTTAAAAAAATATGTGGCAATGATAAAAAAATAAGATTTATTTGAAAAAATAGAAATCGAAAAAGGCAAATGGGGAAAATAAATCAAATAAGACTGGACAATGAAAGAATTAGCAATCACAATGCTCGACTACGTCACAGTTAGAGAAGACCTGCACCATGTCTTGACCTGCCCCCTTCCCCATCCTCCCTTTTTTTGTATATTGGGATATACTATGATATTTTCCACTTTCTTAATATGTTTGTATTTAATTATCAAAAATATTTTTAAAATTTCCACTACTCTTAGAGCTATGTTCAATACAGTTTTCAGTTCCATATAGTTTCCTAACTTTAAAGTTTTTAATCTATTTAAATATCAAGACAGAAACTAACGTACTTCCTTATTCTATAAGTCTCCACACGCTAATGAAGAAAGCATCTGAAGTGTGTCCATAGGTAGAGAGTTCTGCTCTATGCCACCTATAGCCTATTTCAATCATCAATACAGCGATAAATAAAGCTGATAGCAGCAGTTGAAGAAATTCTAACTTTAATATTTTATGTTTAATTAAGAGACTTAATTTTTCAGAGTTATTATATTTCATTCTGACACAGAAGTTTATAATTTATAATGAGAAAAATAAATCTAAAATTGAATGACCTATTACAGTTGTCACCACTTAACTGCATATCGGATAATTGAATAACCCGCTTGTACAAATAGAATTTAATGGAACGAAATCATTTTTTATTTAACTAATGTTACATTTTCCCGTTTAAACAGACAAGGGTGATAGTGCTCCGGAAAAAATCCGGATTTTTCGCTAATTGCTATCCGGAAATCCAAAGTCTAGATGTTCCAAGAAATCAGCAATCACATTTATATATAAAATTTTTTTTTTTATATTTTATTTAAAAATATTAGAACTAGAATTTATACTTGGCATCTTTTTCATTTGTAAATATTTTTTCTGGTAGAATAATAATTATGATTAGAGATAAAAGTAAACTTACACATAATTATTCATTTAAATTATGCTTCATATAATTCATTTAGAATGTAATGTTTTGAAAATTTCAATGATTTAAATTTAGAAAGATATTAATTTTTTGAATGATTTTACTCAAGAAATTTTCAGGATTTTTGAGTTGGGCCCACAATTACCCCTGAGCAGATATTTGTTGTTTTTTTGCCTCCACTTAATTGTATAAAGAACAGGGGTCGCATTCCCCCTAAAATTCCTAAAAGTATGTGCAATCCCTAAAATTCCTAAAATTCTGATAAAATTTTGTTGGTGTTCCTAAAAAATTAGAGTTATAGGCTAAATATAAATAAAAAAGCAATAATCTAAAATATAAGAATTTAACTACGTTAATTAAAACTGTTTTAATTTTGCCACATGGGAATTCTGATCCTGAGAGAGGTTTTTCGATAAATAAAGCAATGCTTAATGTGAGTCACCATGAGTATACTATTATGTCGCTTAGACTAATCGAAGATACNGGATCAATTTAGTAGTCCGATGTGACGAAGATAACTGCGCAGTAGACGAAAAATAAGAAAGATGTCATTACGTTAGGGGTACTAAGCTGCACAGTGGTTGAAAATACAAAATATGTCATTACGGTTGGACTACTAAGGGATATTTATGGTAACCCGTTCTGAGGCCTGTTCTTTCTAGGAGGTGTTGGTTTAATGCCTCGTTGACTTCACTCACACATCATTTAGAATGTAAAAAAGGTACAGAGTGATTTTTTTGTGGTCCCTTTCTAGTGCGCTTGATAAGAAAATATTTCAAAAACCTAACACACTAGTGTACAGTGTGTGTTTCTATTAAGTAGAATAATCATTGCTTAATCCAGTGAATAACTCTCAGTTGTTTTCAAGTTGAGCACGAACAGGAATGATTTGAGTTAATCGGGGGGAACAACGAATCTTGGAAACAATAAATTTCAAGAAATCCCAAATTAAAATAATGCATTAATTTGGAATTTTTCAAGTTTTGAGAATTAGAAGAAAAAAAAGTAAAAATTCAGAATGCATTTGAAAAGAATACACAAGTCATGAAAGTCTTGGTAGAAATTGAAAGAGAACATCTGATTTTGATAAATTGAAGAATTAAATGGGTATAAAAACAGGCTTCAAATATAAATTTTTTCAGAAGGGATCAAATAATATTTTAGTACCTATATTATACTTTTCACTAACATTAATTTATTTTAAATGTTACTTTAAAAGACATATATATTTTATGATACTAACATATTTAAATTATATGATACTAACACAGACAGTTATAATTATAATGGTTTATTGATCATAAGACATAGTTTATTTAATCGAAATTATATATGATACATAAAATTTAGAATTTGAAAATGAATATTGCTCTCCCTTTTTAATCGAATAATTCGCTTAATTGCATAGATTTGGCTGGAACAGATGGTATTCCTTTAAGAGAGATTGATTGTATGTATTCTTTTTTTTAAAATTTATATTTTTATTAAAATATGTTGTAATAATATATAATTATATAATATATTTTTTTTTAAACTAGGAAAATTAAATATTTTTTATAACAAGTATCAAAACATTATTATACTTTTAATACAAAAATTGGACACCAGATAAATTTCCCAGTCTTGCCCTTTAGCTGTGTTAAGTACCAATTTGCAAAATTACATTAAAATTTTGTGTATAATAAATTAAGCACTTTTAAAATATTATTAAAAATTTTTTTTTTTAGATTTTTATAAATGTATATAAAAAATGAATTTAAAACTAATGCAGTTTTGAGTTATTAATTTTTTTTACGTACAGGTAAACTTTTTTTAAAGAAAATATTTTTGCAAGTTGAAAATCCATTTAGCGCCATGGCAATTAAAGTTGGCATGACAGATCACAATACCTAAATACCCTCTTTTTTTTTACTTATCTGGAAAAAAAAGTTATTAAATATGGATTTTTTTTTTCTAAAATACTTTATGATAATATAAGTTTTACCAATTCTCTTTTTCAAAAACAAACAATTTTTAAATTTACATGTGATTTTAATTAAATATTATAAATATATTTCTGAATCTCCAATTATATTCATTACTAATAAGAAATTAAAAGTAAGGTAGGCAGCAAAATTAGTTTTGTCTTATCAAAAGTTTGAAAAAAATTAAAATATCAGTGAAATAAATTTTGTAATGTTTAATGTAAGATAATGCTCACAGATAATAATTTTATGAATGATTGATTAAGGAACACATGACTTAATCAGTGATGTTATTTCAAATGCATTGTTAAGATTTATTTTTAATGATTATTTCATTTATATTTATAGAAGTTTACATTTTATAAACTAAGCTTCATAAAGTATTTAAAAATTAAATTTATCAATTAAATAAAATATTTGTCAATTAAATAAAATAAAAATATCAAAAATTAAGCACCTTATCAGTAAATGCTAAGTTTGAAAATGATTTTCACAGGTTGCCCAAATATCAGAAAATATTAATTTTTTTTCTGTTAAAAGAAGTTCATATTAATGCAACAATAGTGTAAAGCAAGATTTTAGTCACAAAAATAAAATCAGGTACATTAATAATAGCTGTTGCCAGGGCTATCTCAGTAGCATGTATTGCATCTAAATAGCATGGAATGTTTTGGACCTCTATAAACTCTCCTCTATAAAACTTCGCATACATGAAATAAAGCATTTTTAAGATATGCAATAATTTTAACAAATTTTGATTACCCCAAAAACTCAATGAACATAAAATAAAGCATTTTTAAACTATGCATAATTTTATAAAAATTAAGATTCTAATCAGTTGCAATACTCAAATAATAAAATAATTTTCAGAATCATGGAAGCTATTTAAAATATATTTAAAAAAACATAAAAGTATAACAAATCAAGAAAAAAAATCAAATGGCATAAAATATTTTGTAAACTTGGCAGTTATTAAGACATCTTTCAATGCACATCAGACAACCAGTTTAAAAGTTGCTGTATCGTAGTGCTGTGTAATTCTAAACTCTTTCAATTATTACTTTATATAACTAATTTTAAATACTTAACAGAGTTGGTGGTCAAGCATTTTTAGTGACATGACTTAACATAAAACTTTCTCAGATTAATTTATTTTACAGGTGTGTATGAATCTTGTAGGTGCAAATTGAACTGTAAGTGAGAATTAAGTACCTAAAAACTTCATTGGATTGCAGAAAAATAGATGTCTGTTGCTTTTTTAAGTTTTCCGGCTGATAAACTATTCAAATTATTGGTGTTTGCATGATTATCAATCACTATTTTAAAAAGAAAAACAAATTGCATGCTTTATACAAAAGGATGTATTTTAAAAAATATATAAGACAGTGTTGTTGATCGCTAGTTTTTTTTAAAAACAATTTATAAAACGTTAAGATTCTGAAGCCCCCCTCTCCAAGTTTGTAGGGCCCCTGGACACTGTGCCCATGCATAAAGACGGTACTGCTGTTGCAGAATAAATTTAAGTAACAATAAATTTAAAAAACTAAAATAAGTTTAGTGTAGGTACAGAGATGCCAACTGCTCCGGACAAGCCAAAATAATAAAAAAAAACGGTAAGTAACTACACAGTAAATTTTGCAAATATTTGACTATTTTTGCTTGCTTTTTAAAAAGTATGGCATGACATAATTACTATAAAGTGGTGAATTCTATAAGCTTACGAATTATTTAGAAATAGTGGTGGATAAAAATCTACTAAATTGAATTTATTAAACCAAAAATCACATTTAATAAACTACCACTTTAAGATTCGCCGTCCGGAGCAAGTTGGCATCTATGGTATTTGTGTTAAGCTACCTATGAATTCCATTCCATTCAATGCGTGCCACACATGTGATACATTCTTATAATATTTAAAATTGATACTAGTGCCCTCTGTTGACGATTCTGAATAAAATCCATTTGTTTGTAAATAGCAATTTAGAATGTCATTTCAGTGGCCATCCACTATTTCTAATTTACGTATTGCCTCTATACTGATCAATGACTTCATATTGGTATTTATCAGGGGTAGGAGAAAGGCAGATCACACTGGTTTTCGATCATAATTTTGCTTTGAGAATGCAGTTAATTCCTATAACATTTTGATTTCAAAAGATAAAAAAATTAGGAATTTTTAGCATTCCCTCTCTGAAAAGCTTCCAACCAATTGAAACACTGGTATCTTTGAGTAATATAGCTTATCTAGATACAATTTTGACGACGTTAAGGAAAAAAATCATTGATATATCTGAGTTATGCTTGTAATAACAGAATTTAAAGTAGGACATTTTTATTCAGTTCAGTAAAAAAATTTCTCAGTAAATTAAAGTTTGTAATATAAGTTTTTCATTTCTAAAAAGAACTGCATTAATTTAATGTTATTATGAAAGCAGCCACCACGGCTCTTTATAGAAGGTATTTTTTATAACTGTCGTTGAACAGCCGACCTGATTTTGGATTTACGACGAAAAATGTTTTACTCCATAGCCTTGTAATTTATTTGGGTGAAATGATCATTATGAAGACTAACAACTTAAATCAAAACATTTGGATTATAAAGCATCTTATTTTTAGAGAACTATCCTTCCAAGAAATTTTTTTTGAAAAATGAAATAAGTCGTTTGTGACGCTCATGGAATTTGTTAAAATTGTTTGATAATCTCCCCCCTTCCCCCGAGGCTCAAAGTAGGCGGGAAGCGGCATACTGGGTGACAATCCGGTTTCCTGACGGTCCAGTATGTGCCACTAATGGTTGGGAATCCCTAAAATATATAAATAATAAGCATAAAAAAATTGACACACACACTCATTTAATATAAAAAGAAAACTATATTTTTTATTTTCTTATAAATTTTTCTTTTGAATGGAAATACAATTAACAAGCTTAAAAATATGAAACTTTAAATCTACAAATATAAAATACAAAAATAGTGTACAACTTCTAACATCTTTGAAATAAAAATGCCATCAAAAATAAAAATTGAAGCTCCAAGTGTAATTTTCAATACAAAAAGCACAAATCTACATTTGCTCTCTTTATTTTGTAGAATACAAGTTCATTTCCTACAAAAGAGTAGAATAAGTATTACATTGATATAGAAAAAAAAATACTACAATCAGTAGATGTTAAAAATAAGCATGCAAAATATAAAAATTTCATGCAATAAAATGCTGTTGTAAATAGAAGTGTCAACTTCAAAGAAAAGAAAAAAACTTTTTGGTTAAAATAATATCTTTTTATTTGAATATGTAATATTTCTTTTTATTCTAAAATTATAGCACACATTAGAATTCTCACATTTCGATTCCAAATTCCACATCACCGATATTCTCACATTTTGTAAGGGGAAAACACACTCATTATTTCCTTTTCGCATTTTGTAAATCATCATCACATTAAAAAAAATAAATAATAAAATTGTAAAATCTGTAGCAGTAACTACCGAAGGAAAAGATCGACGGCAAAATCACGGGAATCAGGCTCTTCGAAAAAGGGTTACTAAATGCCTGATTACATTTCGAGATTCAGCTGTTGTTATAAATAGTATCGTATTAAAAAATAGGATTTTAAAAACTATGTGGAAATAAATAGTTATAACTACATAAAAAAAATAGAACGAAAATTTGTGAAGGAAAGAAAACCAAAATATTTTTACTTCCCGAAGGAAAAATCTTTCTGCAAGAATTTTATTACGTTCTGAGACGATGCTGTTGCACCCCAACGATGATTGAGTGAATATTTTTAATCAGTGCATTAGACTTATATTAATGGGACGTATAATGCTTTATCTATTTGAGATTTTACTCTTTTATTTTGTTCGTTTTTCGGTGCTGCATTCATGCATAAAGTGCTATGGTTTACTCATCTTTCAAAAATACTCAATTTTTTACTCTTTTTCAACCAGACATGCTTAAAACAGATTCATTGACTCAACAGTGATTTTTCTTACAAAAATTAATTCAACTTGTCTACAGAAAAATTTATAATTGGATTTATAAACAATAACTGGAAAACGAAAAAGGTAAATACAATATTCAATTTAAAACTAATTCAGATTTCTCCCCCCCCCTTTTTTTTTAAATTAAATAGCAGCTCCAGAGAATGTCTCTTTTTTTTTTACGATTTGGAAACTTAATAATGCATTTTTTTTGTTGGTACAGAGCCACAAGCCCATCCCAATAAAAATTAGCCTTGTTATGAAAAAAGATTCGAAAAAGAAAGAATGTCCATAAAAGTTTCCAAAACACACAGCAAGGTGAGTAGCTAAATCTTTCAACAAAAAATAAGCACCTTTTAAGTTATTTTCAAGCATTAACAAAATGCAAAATAATATTCAAAGATTTTACATAATCACAATATAATAACTAGTTTCTGACAAAGAACTCTTTTCTTAATTACATTAGACACCATAAAAAGATTGAGAGATTTTTCGGTCAATTTCAGAGAGTGGTAAACGAACCCTGAAAATGAGACTATCTTGAAAAATGCAGCAGAACTGCACATAAGAGTGCAAGAATCTCACAAAAACCCAGTACAGTATACGCACCCGCAAGTATTTCATCAAACATGTAAAATGATTGGCGCTTTCATAAGCTACGGACCATCGGTACGCACAAATGCATTGTGTTTGAATGAATTTTGAAAATGTTTAATGGAACAATGTGAAAACCACGCTTTTGTATAAAACGTGGCAAAAATTGACATGGTAAAGAAAAAAATTTCATTTTTTAAAGGGAAAATTAAGCACTTTTTAAAAACAGCCAATAAAAAAGCACCTTTAAGGGCTTTTTAAAAACGCTGTGCACCATGTCACAGGCATACGTGTCCCTGGTGAAGACTTAGAAATGAGAATAGAAAAAATTATCTCCAGACCTCACAATTTCAACATGTCTATTTTTTTAAGAGTTTTTTTTTTAAAATTCATTATTTATATTACAGATTCGACGGTTTATATAAAATTATTGACACTGCAATATGCCGAAGAAAATTGACATGAGATGAAAGAATGAATTCTTGGTATTTTGCTCCTCTTTTTACAAGTTCAGTAATATTTGCATGAAACCCCAATAAGATATGCTTTTAATTAATGTATTGTTTTGATGGATTTAACAATCACAGATAATATAGAGATTGTCTAAGGTAAGAACTACCCCTGCCACAAAGTCTGAGGACATATGCTGCTATGGAAACAAAAATAGCGCATTTCAGGGAGGGTAGCTTTTCTTCACTCTAGGGTTAACATAGTAGATTGAAGAAAAAGATTCCCTTCCTCTCGCTGACCTGAGCCAAAACCAGTCCTAAACAATGACCATAGTGACCGCCTTGTTACCATAGTCACCGCCATGGGTCTAGACAAAAGGCTAGGGGAGTTCTTACCTTAGACAAGCTATATAGAGATGTAACTTGAAATAACAAAAAAAAACAGGAGTTATAAGTACGGATGCTTTCCCAAAAAGAATTTAAAAATAGTTTTTAATTGTGTCTTACCTTTGCAACAAACAATGGTAGTGTAAATGAGGCTCTGTGAATATCTGATGTATAATACTTCAGTTTGAGTTCTTCAACTTGTTCAGAAGAAAACTTATGAATTGGGTTTCTAAAGTTGGTTTTCTGAAAAAAAGAATATTGCATTTAATTTCTCCATTTTTATTTTCAAGATAAATTAATTCTACACTCATCTTTAAGATAATTAGTTTGCAAATAGTTAGAAGTTGGTCTGTTCATAAATTTAAACAAAATATAAACAGAGTATCAGCTATATTTCAGATTTTCAAATCCATGACTAATTCCAAAAATTTTTCATGACTTAATAAAGTCACTATTTGCTTTGAAAAAAAAAACACAATTTAAAAAAGCATTATAAAAACATTAATTGAAAATGACAGGTACAACCAAAACTGTTATACTTTGCATCTTCTTATTTATAGATTATAAATTTAAAAAAAAAACAGAGTAAAGAAAGAGTTGAAGCAATAAAATAGCTGAAAAAAATACAAAAGCAAATAACGTTTTTTCCTCTTCATTTCTGCTGAATTATATTCTAGATACTTTTCTTGTTCATCGGAAAAGAAATACTCCTGATTTTTCTGTTCTCATTTCTTAATAAAAAAATGACTAGCTTGCTTCAGCTAGAATTTTAAACTGGTAAAATAAATAATAATAAAAATTCTGAAATTACAGAAGATAAAAATATAATTTGCTCTAGAAACGTTTTTTCTTTCATTTTTTTAAAGAACACAATAACTTTTAAAGAACATGATAAAAACAATATATATTTTAATAAAATATGACTGTGAGTGGGGATTTTATTACAAATTCGGAGATTTGGAACACCATGAAATTGGGGGGGGGGAAGTAAATTCCATCTTAAAAATTCGATTTTTCGGTAACCTGAATCTATGACTTTCTATGATTGTTTTTAAAAATAGTTAAAATCATGACTTTCATAACAAATTTCGTTCAATACCGAAATTCATGACTTTCTAGGTCTGCAGATAACCTGTATATATATATATATATAATAATAGTATGTAACTGGTAAGTTATGCCGTAAGTGAAAAACTTATTAAGAGAAGGTACTAAATCACATTTCACTTAATGTGAGTCAATTAGCCTTAAAATGTGTCTTTATTGTTGCTTTTGTTGTAGATCTGAAAGAGTAACTCTTTGTTTAAGGTATAATTCTCGAAAATATTTTGGGGATCACTGTTTGGATTCAGGCATTATGCGTCATCTTTCTAATAAATAGTTTGCAAGTAATTAGAAGTTGATCAGTTCAAAAATTCAAACAAAAAATATATACTATAATAATGTAAAACTGGTTCAAGATATGCTGTAATCAGGGAAAAAACTCATTTTTTACAGATTACTACAAAACTTCTCAAAAACCATATTTTTTTACTACTCAACTGTAAGATCGCAATCTTGACTATAAAATTGAAGTTTGTTCCGTATTTGTAAGTTACGCTCTTGGCGTTCGAGCATCTCCCCTTGGCACACTGTAAATACGCCAACTTGGCAAGCTGTCTATGTTTATACACCATTACAGTCTACGCTCTACACCCGAAAGGGAAACGCAAATAAACTCCTATTTTACAAAACGCTTTCTCTCATTTTACGCTACCTCCGCGCAAAGTTATTACAGATAAATTGCAATAGTTGACACCTCTGTATAAAGTACATAGAATTCAAAACAGTGTAATATTTTTCAATGAATATACATCTCAAAAGAATGATAGACAAAAAAATAAGCTTTTCCCGACAATAAAATATAAAAAATAAAAATGGATATTAAAGCAAAATTATTACTGGTGATTTCCCGCAAAGAAGGTAGCCGATTTGCCCTCCTGGATAAGTGGGAACATACGATGTGGCGTAATCAACTACAGGAAAGATCTCTCGACACATTTTTAGCATACTTTTCAATAGAGGAAGATCAAACCAAAATGATTCACCTACAATACAAAAGTTCACAGTTGAGTACAGCTTCAAAAGAAATTTTAAATTAAGAGGACACTATAGAGTGGGAGAAACTTTTCAGGAAAAACTCATGTTTTACTTCTCCTGTGGTATTTTAAAGTTGAGAGAAAAATGAGTTCACATCTACTCTTTTTTTTAAAAAATAGCAATTCACATATTATTCATTTTACTTTTATACATAAATTTAAAATCTACACATCATGTTATTTAAGAGTTGGTTTACATATTCTTATTTCCTTATTAGATTTTAAAAATTAGTACACTCTTTGTGATTTTGATAAGTGATTATTTATATGCATATATGTTTAGTTAATTTAGTAGCACTTATAAAATTTGATAGATACTAATACACCCTGGACAGAATTTTTTCGGGATTTCAGCGACAAACTTTCCTAGCACTAATATTTCGCTTTAAGATACTTTTAATTATAACAATTATCAATTTAAAGAAACAGAAATATTTTGTTTACAGAAAAAAGTATAGCATAAAAATGTATAAAAATTTTTAATTGTAAAAATAATATTATTTTAATTCTAATATTATAGGAGATATTCTCGTATTTTGTAGGTGGGAAAATGCTCTTATTATTTCCTCCTTTGAATTTCGTAAATCATTACATAAATTAAAATTCATAAAGAAATGAAGCAATAACAAATTGAAATTCGTAAATAAATTAAAAATCGTAAAATCCGTGCAGTAACTCCCAAAATAAACATCATGAATCACGCGAATAGGACTCTTTAAAAGAGATACTCAAATAAGAGTATGTAAAATATGTTGTTCTTTAAAGGAAAAAAAATGTAACAAAGAACATTATTTCTAGAGCGAACTGCCTTTTAAACTTTCACAATTTCTGAATTTTTATTTTATATTATTAATTTGAAATTCTAGAAGAAGCCAGTCATTACAGATTGTTTTTAAAATCTCAAATGAGAATAGAAAAATCATGATTATTTCTTTCCTCTCTGATGCGCAAGAAAGACATATTTGAAGAAAAAAAATTCTGCAGAAAAAAAAAACATTTTTCGAAACATTATGCAGAAAGGAAAGCTAAAATGTTTCCCTTCCCAAATAAAAAAGATCTCTGCCATGCACTGCGACAATGTCGCCCTAATTCGGCCACGGGGTTAATACAGTTCTTTATCTAATAAAATTTCATATCATTTAATAAAATTTAATCTTATTTTAAAATTTAATCTTATTTTAATAAAATACTGAAGAACAACAGTTATTTTAATTTCTTAATGAACTTCATTAATTTTATTTTTCCTTCCAACTGTTATATTTTAATTTTAACTTATTTAAAAATGAAATTGGAAATTAAAATACTTAGAAATAAATAAAATTATTTTAGCTAGATTGCAATCATAAAATGTTAAATTTTTTTTTAATTTTTAACATTTCTTTTCAAAAGAGATTTCGTTTAAATTTCCTCCAATAGGATAGAAAGAATCATATTCCTTACCAGGCAGTGTTTTAAATGTATTTTCCGTTTTTTTTTTCCTTCTCCCAATGTGGAAGAAACTTGCAATCCCTGGTAGTAACATATATGGAAAAAAAATTCTATTGTTTTATATTAAAAGAAAATAATTACCTTGAGAGCAAAGAATTCCATCTTCCTTTAGAGCTTTGTTCAAAGATTCATAATAAGGCTTTTGAAATAGAACCTGAGCTGGACCTACAAATACATTTTTTTAGAAGTTTTTATTTTTAGTAAAAAATGAAAAAAATTTTCCTTGCACATATTATATGCAATATATTAAGAGGAAACACATCTTCACTGCGCTCTTGTGAACTATATTAGGATAAAGATGCTAGTTTTAGTTGATGGAAAAACTTGGATGGAAAACTTGGAACAAACAGCAACATGAAGCAAATAATGCTATAAAAAATGAAATACTGTAATATAGCTGAACTATCATCTTTAAATATCCCATAGATTGTGCCTTGAGAGGTCTGCATTTTTTAAAAGACAAAAATAAAAAATAAAATTCCCTGTTATTTCAGCTAATTTTTAAATTCCCTATATTTTTGAGGTTTTACCTGTGAAGTGGCGATCCTGAGATGGGACCTTTACAAAAGGTGTTTTAACTATACTATAACAGGGGGCGTAGCCAGATTTTTCAACAAAAAATAAGCACTTTTTAAACACTCAAAAAATATTTTTAATCACTTTCCAAAAAAGAAAAAAAAAACAATTAGGATATGTGCAGTAATAAATATTATTTCCTTCTATTGTTTAAAGTCCCTAATTTATAAACATAAAAATCAACGAAATGCAAAAACATTTTCAGAGTTAAATAATCACAATAAAATAACTAGTTTCTGATAAATATTGCAACGAAAGTAGTGAAGATCATGCTTTTTTTGATCTTTTATAATTTTTGACGTCAATCAACACAACAAAGCAAAAAAAAATCTCATTTCAAAGGATAGGAAATTAAGCACTTTTTACAAACCCCAGACGAAAAAAGCACCTTTAAAGGCTTTAAAAAAACAAATTACAAATAAGCACATTTAAGTACTTTCTAAAAATGCTATGCACCCTGTATAAACTTGAGTAAAATTACTCCAAACAATTCGCAACAATGAAAACTTTTTTTAAGAAAAAACCTTAGTATTTCATTTTTCTATCATAAACAACTGTAACAATGTCATTAAAAAAAATGTTTTTTTCTGGCAGCCAAATTTTAGATTCCTAAAATCACATCAGTAATATCCGATAAATGGTGATGAAATTTGTGACGGGATACTTTCACTGGGCACCAGATTACCAAAGTGTCAAACAATAATAAACATTCTATAGCATAGGCTAATAATTTGAAGCCTATGAGCCATTGCAATGAAAGTTTCAGATAACATTAAAATATCATTGACATAAACACATAACATAGACATAAAAAATAAGGAAAAATATGAATTTTTTTTCTTCTCATTACTTTATAGCATGCATTTTCCCTAAAGCTATAGAAAAAATATATTGTTAAAAAAGCATTTAATACCTATAGGATCAGAAGAGTCAGTGATAATGACATCAAATTCCCCTGGATGATTCCTCACAAATTCAGCGCCATCACCAACGTAAATTGTGGCTTTTGGACTGTCAAATCCTTTTGCCATAAAAGGTAAAAACTCTTTTGACACTTCTATCACTCTCTGGAATCATATTCAATATATCACTAAACAACTGGTTAAAAGACCAGTTATTCTATGTTGTTGATAAAAATAGATTTGAGAAAAGAGAATAAATTTAAATATTTACCTCATCAATTTCACAAAGAATAACAGATTCAACGCATGGGTGTTTAACTACTTCTCTTATCACTCCACCATCACCACCTCCAATAACTAGGACCTAAAAAGAGAATTATTTTAAAATGCTACAGAAATTTCATCGCATAGTTTGTCTCTTTTTGTTAACAAAGTTGGAATTTTTTTCACGTTGTTTGGTATTTTTCTCGCCTAATATAGCTTTCAACCTTTATAAATTTTAAATGTTCATGTTTTGGATCAATAAAAAAATAATTTATCAGGCGAAAACAACTGGAACCACAGTTCAATTAAGTTTGTGAATAAAAACTACCAATTATCTATTAAATTGGGAGTACAGAAGAGGGTAAAAGGCAGCTCTCACACACATTTATTAAAAACATAGGAAAAATACTTAAATGCTTGAAAAATTAATCAGGTGGGATTTATATTAAATCTTGTTACTAGACAGAATTATAAATTAAAGCTAAAAATTTTTTTACTGAGAGATAAATATAAGCTTATTTGGGAACTTGCACTTCAAGAAGATCACAAATACCCACACATGTGACTTACGATGTCAGAGCCAGCTGATCGTCTATAAGCAAAATGGCTTGCTATAGTTGAGCTAAGCTTCTCCACATAGGTTAGAACAGGGATTTCCAACTTACATGACGCCGGGGGCCACAATTAAAAACATAAATCAAATGGTGGGCTGCAACTTTATCAAAATTTTATGTAGGACTCTTTAATGTTTGAAGGAACATTAAATATTACTGTCAGATTTTTACCAAGTTGTACAAAGCAAAAGTATTGAATTACAAATTAAAATAAGAAGTAGATTTTAAAAAGAATTTAATTGCATATTAAAAAATTCGGGCTACAATAACTTTAATGTGCACCCAATGTATTAAACAATTAATGTGCAACAGATATCTAATTGTTAAGATATAAAACTTTAAAAAGGTTGGTATTAAAACTTACATGGTAGCACACAGAATGTTCAATGACAAAATTGAGGTTTGTCTGTCGCAACCACCAGAGAATAGATATTTAAATTTTAAATTTAAAATTTACAAATGTGTGTGTAAATATTTTCATCCAAAAGGAGTGGTTTCAAAAAGTTAAATTGGAGAATTTCTTCGAGAAAATTTCTGATACAAAGCAAGCTAAATTACATTCACAAAAAACAAAAAAATGAAATGAAAAAGAGCAACATACACGATTATTTTTGTATTTGAATAAATATTTTCTTGGATGCAAAACTTGAGAAAAATTTTTTTTTGCACTGTTGGTATGATAAATTTCACAGAAACGAAGAAATTAGGTTTTTATTAACGCGAATAGTATTTTAAACCCATATAGATTTTTTACGAAAATTGTCCGCAAAAAAATTACAACTGATATTGTATTTTAGTTCGAATACCATAAAAAAAGGCATCGCGGGCCGGATGTGGCCCCCGGGCCGGATGTGGCCCCCGGGCCGCCAGTTGGAAACCACTGGGTTAGAAGGTTAACCACATAGGTTAATTAACGTGAAATTAATTAAATACAGAGCCGTATCGCACATCAAATTTGTTGAAATATAATTCTTTCTTGTCTTTTACTTAACTTAGATTTATTATTTGTTTACATCTTTTATTGTAACCATGATATATTTTTGCTTTGCGTGCCTGGCAACTTCAAAATATAATTAGTTTGTTTATGTTCTACGTCCCTTCGTGCCTGTCTTTGTTAAGTAAGAAATATATAGTAAAAGAATTTAAATCTTTGTGAATACTTGACAGGTTTAACTCACAAAACAGAATGGAAAGAACAATGGCTAACATAAACAAATGCCACGTATCAACAACCAATCAGGATCGAGATACCTACAGTACATCACTTGCAGGTATTAGCTTAAAATCTTAATCTGAGAAAATCTTTTGAAATTTTGATTTGACTCCTACCTTTTAATCTCTGAGTTAAAAGTGAAAGCATATATTTGTTTAATTTTTTCTTGTAACCTATCATTTAAGCTTTTAAAAAGCATTGTACTTTAACTTTGAATCCAAATCTAAGCATTTATATTTGTGTTTCTGCAAGAGAAATCCTAATAATAAAACAAATTAAAATATAAAAAATTGATCAACAGTTATAACATTTTAATGCACACCAACATAGTTCCCAGCATATAAAGTGATATCATTTGATGCTATAAGGTTTCTTCTTTTTATAGTGCAAGATGTCACCCTATGTGTTCTAGCTTTGTATCATATAATCACATTTCAGGGAGGGTAGCTTCTCTTTACTCTAGGGCTGACACAGTAGACCGCAGAAAAAGATTCCATTCCTCTTGCTGACCAGAGCCAAAACCTGTCCTAAACAGTTACCCCACACCCCTACTTGAAATAGTTATGCCTCATTACCTTGGCACAGACGAATAGCTAGGGGACTTCTTACTTTAGACAAACTATAAAAGGTAATTTGTCCTTGTCTGCTCTGCCTTTCGCTAAAATAAAGCATCAATTGCCACAAAATTATATAGCTAAAATACATTTAAAATCAGGTTAATCAGTTGGCTATTTCTTTTTATAAACTAAATTATGTCTAAAATTTACCTTTTTAGGATTGGGATGTGAATTCAGAGGTAAAAATGAGATGATTTCTTGATATGAAAATTCATCAGCTTCTGAGCACTGGACAGCATTATCAAGAACAAGAACAACACCAAACCTTTTGCTGAAAGGAAAGGAAATCTTCAAGAAAATGTTATAGAAAGAAAAAAAAAGTTTTCACAATTTTCACTTTAAGAATTACTTCACAATTAATTACTTGTAAACATACTGTTAGATTTATTTTAACAGTTTTTGATTGGGAAAAATGTTTAAGCAAAGCATTACTTCGTAATGAATCAAATTTTCAATGCCTGATTAGTTTAAAACGATCAATTAGTTCAATATTTAGTTTTGATCAGCAGTTTTATTTTTTCTACATCATAGATACAGGTTAATTCGATATAGAAAATAACTAAATTAACAGTTAAAAATATGAAGAACCTATAAATGTTTAATATTTATAATATTCATTGCATAATATGCCGGAAAAGTGAAAATGACTAAGGAAATTGGGAAAATCAGCTCTTTACAATTATCGCCCGCATTTTGCTAGGCATCAGGCTAATAGTAAATATCTTCTGCATTTTTTTAGTCAGGCTGATATTTTTTAGGTTTATTGCAATCCATTCAAGTGCCTTTAGTCTTATCAGAAAATGCTCAAAGAATTATCCAATCATTCTGAATTTACTATCGACTTATTGATGAAATATTCTGTTGTCAGCTGTTAAGACTATTAAAATTTTCATGAAATGAAATGTTTAATAAAATGAACTTAATTTAAATTACTTTGATTCATTTTCATTAAAATAGAATTCTCTAGACTACTTTGCAACAGCAATAAAAATTTATCTTGAATTACAAGTTTTATATCATCTTATTATCTACTATAAATTACCTAGTGAAAACTAAAATATCTTGATACGGTGTCTTCTCACGATGCAAAATCTTATCCACTTCAATAGATATTGCGTTATCACCATGCAATGATCCAGTTTCTGTAAACCATCCTTTCTTGAAAGCGTCCATGCCTAAAATTAAGAAAGAAGTAATAACTTACGATTTATTACAATAAAAGTTTAAAGAAGAAAACCATTTTTTTGGAATAATGTATTCAAATATATTAAAGACATTTATCATGCTAAAAAAAATGTTTTCTAAAGATCTATTTTTTTACACTTTTAATAACTTATTTTACGTGGCAGTTTTACATCCAACCTTTAATTTCTGCATTTTAATCATTGTTATCCCAGTTTGAAAACCATTATTACAACAATGGATTAAAAGTTAAAAAACGAACAAACAAACTAGATTGAAATAACCAGGCTAAAAGATTTTTTGCACTAAATTGGATATTTAACACTAAATATTTAACATCATGAACACAAAACCATTTACTTTTATAAATATATCATTTTCAAAGAAATATTTACTTATATAAAACAATTTTTAAGCCAATGGTAGTAAAAAATTTTTAGATTAGAGAAATTTTGATTTAAAATAATCAAATAGTAAAACTATAAATGAGATTCATAATTAACAGTAGAATATCTCTATTAGATAAGCCTTGATTTGCGAGGGTTTGCCTTTTTTAGAATTCTGTGTTATCATTTCACATATCATTAAATTTATCTACAAAACATGGCAACAGATAAATATTAAGGCTCTAGAATAATTTTCGAATATAAATAGATCAAAACATAAAAATTTACGCAAACATTAGTACAAGAAAACTAACAAACTTATCAATTTTGATCTGCTTGAGCAATTTTAAAATTAATGCAATTTAAAGAGTTTAAGAACTTTATAGATCTTGTATTGCATTATAAAAAGCCCAAGCTATTAAAAAAAAGACTTATATTTTATAAATTGAACTGATTAATTAATGCACTAATAAAAACAATTATTTTAAGGTAAATATTTTCAAATAGTTTTTAGGTATAAACACAGTATTATATTATTGTAACTAAGATTTTAGGAGAAATTAAAAATAAAATGAAAATTAAGTTATTGTTAGCACAAGTAACTGATTTTGATTAAAGAAAAAATATATCACGCTAAAAATTTTATTTCCTATAAATTAAATACATTAAATGTCAATGATAGAAGAATTACACTCAGGTTACATTGCTACGATAAAATCTAATCAGTAGAAAAGCATTATGTAATTTTTAATGACAAAAAAAAAATAGTCACAGAAACTACAGTACAGAACCCGTTATCCGGAAATCAGAAAACCGGAAAACCAAAATACCGGAACGAAATTCGATAAATTTTCCCGCAATTTTTAAAAAATAAAATATTTTTCGTCATAAGATTTTAGGATTTTTCTTTCTTTTTTGAAAGATGTTTACCTTACCATCATTTCAGAAATAATCATTAGTGTATTACCTCATCGTTTTTTCTTATTTTTAAGATTATTTACAAATAATTTTTTTTTTTAGTTGTGTTTAACACTAAAAAAACGGCTTTTTGTAGCGATTCAGAAAAGCGGAAAAATCAGTTATCCGGAATAGCGATAGTCCCGATCGTTCCGGATAATCGGTTCTCTACTGTATTAACTTATTTATGTTTAATGAGTACTAATAATCTTTTAACATTATTTCTCAAAAATGACAGATCATTTGAAAAATTAACCAGAGAAAAATGGTCAACAATAAGATTGTATAATTTAATGTAATATGCTTCAGAAACAAAATTTTAAAATCAGTTACAAAGTTCATCAACAAATGGCAATGTAAACAAAAACTATACAACAATCTTACATGTTGCGTGTTAAAGCAATGCAACATATTGTCTTTGTTAATTCTGCCCTCCCTTTGGTGTTGCAAACGGGGTTGTTTTTAAAAACAATATTTTACAGGCTTATTTATGACTATCAGTAGACAAACTAATAAATTTAAGACCTAATTTTTTTATAACTTTGCTTAGAATAAATAACTTGCTTTAATATGTAGTAAATTACATGTTTCTCTTTGGTCTTTCAAATCTCTTGTCCCTTTTGGGATATCCATTATTAACAGAGCAAATTTTGAAATGAAAAATGTTGGAACAGGGTTGCCAGGGGTTCTAATATTCCCTGACTTTTCCAGGTGAACAGACATATTTTTAAAAAATTCCAGTCTAATATAGCAGTATGTACTGATAGTGCTGTGGTCAAAATATACAGTGAACCACAAAAAATTAATAATAATAATTTAAACATTACATTGTAGATTTTATTTTACTTCAATTCGGAGTATATTTATTCAATAATACCACAGGAGAAAAAAATGGTAGTAAAGACAAAAGAAAAGAAAGAGAAAAAAAAAATCTTTAAAAATAATAACATTTTGAAATTCAATAGCAGACACTTTTGATGAAAAATCATTGATTAATTTTCTATCCATGTTTAATTTAATTTTATACTTCGTACCTGCATGATGCAAAATTGAACAAGAGTGAGATTTTAAAAGAATAAAAGAATGTATCTCGAGTCATGTAAATTAAAAGAAAATGCTATTTTTTTACATATACAGTCGAATCCCGCTATAGTGAACCTGGGATATAGTGAACACTCGGATGTAGTGAACTTTTTTAGCGGTCCCGTCCGTATTCCTATTTAAATAATGTTANATTAAAAGAAAATGCTATTTTTCTACATATATTTAGAAATACTGAAGAGATGAAATTGTAATAAATAATCCCACTTCATAAATAAATCATAATTATTAAAGATTAACTTGATACACTAATATTAACATGTAATGCAAATTAAATAAAAAGTAAACTTAATTTATCAGAGCTTAAAAAAAAATAACCAAAAATCAAAAAGAATTATTAAAAATGAGTTGTAAACATAAACAAAAATATAATAAAACAAAAATATATTTAAAAAATATATATGATAAAACAAAAATAAAAGATATAGTCTGATGCATAAAATGTAAGAGGGTGGAAGACAGGCATTTGATACATGAATGCACAAAGGGACGCCACAAACTTATATTTTAGGGAGAATGGATTATTTTGCGAATAAAATTCCTAATTTGACCGAATCATATATAGGCATGTAATTCATTTGCTTTAATTAGAAATTATCTTGTTACTAATATTTTCACTATATGCTATGTTCCACCACTGGTTTAACAATTTTATACATAATTATTCTAGTAAAACACGATTGGTTAGTGAGTAAGGCACTAAACTGTTCTGAAGAACTGGGATTCGATTGTAAAGAGGTGGTTTGAAGCCCTTTATATCGATAGGTACCAGCTTATCTAGGAAGTAAAGGCGGCTTGTGTGCAATACTAACCACATTGCTGTAAGCAGGGCATTTGTGCCTTAACCTTTATGAATCCCTAGACCACAATGAACTGTTGTTATTCTTTTATTTTAGTCAATAAATTATGTACCATTTGATAAGTAAATTTATATATATTTACCATTTAAATTATATAGTAAATTTATATATATGTACCATTTGATAAGTAAATTTATATTTATATATATATACATGGTATAAATAAATGACAAATATTAAAAATAAAATAAAAATGAGCATATAAGTACTTATTACGAAATTTATTCTTATAACTAGATCCGAAAATTTGCATTTTCAGTTAGTAGCAAGGGGCAGGTAGACTGTAATAACTTAGTAGCCCCACTTTTTCCTCAAACCTAATAAGGTGGTGACTGATATCGATAGGTCCTTTTCATTTAATAGCTACTTTTTCCTCAAACCTTTTTCTGCTAGAATTAAATTCTATATTTTTTTAAACAAAAATTCATTTCAGAAAAAATCTACAACTTATAAAAGTCAATTCAATTGAAACAATGCGTGAAAAAAATTATTTATACATACTGATTTTCAAGTATATTTTTAAAAAATATATGTTGATACAAATTATCTTTAAATGAAATATGTGAATTGTTGAAGAACTTTCCTGCCATGTGAATCTTTCCACCCAATAATGATGGATTCTAAAGGATCAAAATTTTTAGGGGAGACATTGGACATTTTAATAAAAATTCTGTTTTCCAGAGTTTCTTTTGACATTGATGTACTTCCTTAATAATTAAAAATTTTCTTTTAAAAAAAAAGTGATAAGTTGTTAATTTAATTTAAGTTGCCACCTTTTTTTTCTTGTCACGTGGCGAATGGTTATTTTCAAATCTACTAATAACTGTAATCAATAGCGAAGTTAATTTGATAAAACAATTTAATTGATTTACTGAAAAAAATTATTAACTCATTTGAACAAACAATTATATTTTTCGTAAATTATACTAGTAGTATATTTACCATAGAATATATTATAGTTATGATTTATTGGAAATATTCATGCACATATAAGCAAGGGTGCAGAAAATTCTCAGAGCCTAATACAGTACGGAACCCGTTATCCGGAATACAGAAAACCGGAAAACCAAAAAACCGGAACGAAATTCAATACATTTTCCCGCCACTAAAAAAAAAAAAATTTCTCATAAAACTTTAGAATTTTTCTTTCTTTTTTGAATGACGTTTACCTTACAATCATTTTGGAAATAATCATTAGTGTATTACTTCAACGTTTTTTCTTCTTTTTAAGATTATTACCAAATATATATATTTTTTTAGTTGGGTTTAACAATAAAAAAATACGTCTTTTTGTAGCGATTCAGAAAACCGGAAAAATCAGTTATCCAGAATAGCGATGGTCCCGATAATCGGTTCCCTACTGTACTGTGAACTCTTGCTACTACAATATCCAATACAACAATAACTCCCTCTATTACAACAATGTTTTGTGGTCCCGACGAACTTTCATATGAATTAATGTTATTCTCCACTCAATATTACAATATTCTCTGAAGCAATAAACCCCTGCAAAACAATTTTTTTTTCTAAATTTCAAACTTATTTTCTTCATTTATTCTTCATTTATTCATCTATTTTATANTGTGCCTTAACCTTTATGAATCCCTAGACCACAATGAACTGTTGTTATTCTTTTATTTTAGTCAATAAATTATGTACCATTTGATAAGTAAATTTATATATATTTCCCTACATATGTATAATACATGGTATAAATA